TTCATTCTCTCTGACATTAATAACATATCTTTTGAACTACGTATCATATGAGAGAGAAATTTTAGTACTTGATTCTTCAGATAATGGACACATTGTTCATTATTACAAATGAACAGGATTGGTAAATATACAAATTAAATTTGACTGAAATACTCGGAATTTTATCAATGAAACATGAATAAGTATACATGCTAATATCTTTTTACCTTCTCGCACTTACTTCGTAAGAAGAGAAAGTTATGTAAACATCCGTCGTAAAACTGCGAATTTTCGGCTGAAAAACTCTTATTCCCGGGCTCTAGTAACGAAAAAGTGGATATCTCCTCTTGCTATATACAGTAAGCTACTCCCTCTAACACGTGGTGTAGCCAGAATACGTGGTTTGTGGGTCCTTGATAAATCAATTGCTGGCAAAACGTGGCTGTCCGTGTGTGCCCAACGCTATCGCCTAAACCGTTCAAAAATTGATATTCCCCGAACGAGATCGGAGGTATGGGAGTTTCAACCAGATAATTTGATTTTCACGAAGAAAATTTTTTCATAACTTTCTCAAAAATAGTATCAAATTATTTTTATTACATTTTATCTTCGGACAACGTAAATGACGCTTACAACAATGGTGTAGATCACATGTTCGTTAGAATACCAGTTTTTTCGAAAATTGTAAAGTGAAAAGTTTGAGCGTGTTCCTACAACTATAATATTCTTTTTTTAGTGCCATGCATTAGTGCGTAGGCTATTCTCCAGAAGCCTCTAGCGCCTTCTTGTGTGACTTACCCTGAGCAAATATAGCTAGGGTAGTTTGTCATTGCTTTCCCTAGGGGCACTAGAGTGCCAATTGGCGTTTCATTTGAATACGAGATAGCTTAAGCCAAGATTCAATATTCGCACTCTTATCCAGTTCAAATCGAAACTGATTGGCGCTAAATTGTTAGAAGATTTAATTTTGTTAGGATTGGCCAAGTGCCTTTCCTGGGATATGTTTTACATGCCGACAAGCGTCCGCATGCATTCCGTCGATTTTTGACTCCCCAAAAATCCCCCGACTTTGATCGGGTTTGAACCCGCGACTTGGGATCAGTTTGGCTTGATAATCACTATATCATCAAAGTTGGTAACTAGAATATTGAAGATACGATTTTTTTCTTAATGAAATCTGTTCCTTAAAGATAGATCTTATCATAGCTCATGTACAAGTTTCCGTAAATGTAAGTAATTTTGCGCGAAATATAGGCAATTTTTAGTTTCTTAAACATTTTTTTTCTTTAAAATTTCTCCTCGTTTGTATCAAGGTACGGTAAAAAATGTGGTGTTTCTTTTTCGGTTGACACTCTGTATTTTCGAAAATTGTATCAAATTAACGTTTCAAAACTACCAAATTCAAATTAGAGATTTTTGCCTTGGACAAAGTCTGTTCCAAAAAATCAGCTTTATAAAAAAGGTAATGTACAGTTTTTTTAAACAAGAGTAGTTTTCACGTATTTTGGGATTGAAATTAATGATATTAAAAACATTTTCTCTGCTCCAATGTTTTTCCACGTATAAAAGGGACGTTTACAAGACTCGCGTGGGTTGCATTTTCGTCGATCTCTCTGAATTTTCCACAATTGCAAATTTAGCAATGATGCGAAAAATTATGTGCTGTTGTATCATCACTAGTTTCCCTTTGAATTGGCCTAAGGGTGCAAACGAGAAAAAGGTACAATGGTGTGTGTATTGATGCGGTTGATGGAAACCCCATTTACCCATTTTGTTCGCTGGTTCGCATTTGTGTAGGTTACAAGAGTGCGACGACGCACTTCTTATTGTTGGGCGCCGGGGCAGCCGTTACGTTGTCAGCAAGTGAAGGATCAACACCTTTTTGTTATGTAATGAGTGGGGTATTATTATTTTTCCTTTTGGAACGATTTTGTAACGTTCACACCAAATTACGGTGTATATTTTGTGTCATGGTTAAAATTGCATTATGTGTATTCGGGAATAGATCTAGATCTCTATTCTCTGCACTTGAACCACGGTCGGTATCGATACCCTTGGTTACCGCCAACTGTCGGTAGAAGCTCTTCTCTACGCGCCTGAACCGCCTGCTTGGCGTTGCTGGTTGCGTGTAAAAACGATGCAAATTGGTATCGCGACGGCGCGGGCCCCATCGGAGGGCTCTTACCGCTGCGTTTCCGTTACGGTTTGTTCATGTTGTGATACAGCCGTTCTTGTATTGCATCTCCAAATTTATCTCGATTGTAGTCAAACATGATTTTTTCGTGATATTGCTGCTTCCCGAGAAAGGTTGTAGAATAAATGTAAAAAATATAATAACAAACTTTAAAGAAAAAAATAGTTAAAAAACTTAACCTCAAAACCTTAACATTTTAATTAATTTGACGTCTAATTTGGCCAACACCAAATCTATGCCTCTCTTCAGGAGATAATACATACCATAGTACAAATATCATATTCAATCAGTATTATCGAATGATTGAAACGCTGATATTAAACGGTCATTATAAATGGGAGAAAGATAGTGTGCGTAAATCGAGATGGCGAGAACGGAAAATTGTTTTAAATGCTTTCGAACTTAAAAAAAAAAAGATTATTACAGCCTAGTCAATTTCTACAACCGACCTTGCAAGAGGAATAGCCAGTGTGGTTCGAGGCATTTTTAAGTTGCCAGGGCTATTAACGGTGCAGGGAAAGAGGCATCTCATATTGCTTGATGCTCAGAAAGAACGATTTTATCATTCGGAAAGAAAACAGGCAGCGTGGCGGGGCAGTGCACATCTTTTCACGCACCATTTGTGGACGACTGATATGAGATTTGCAGCTCATGCTTACGTAACCCTTCACTGTTCTCTGTAATAAACTAATCTATATTTTTATGATAGATACATGTTCTCTTGATCCGCAAGAGAGCATTTGTTAATGCCAGAGAAAATATTTTTCCCGTCATCGACTTCTACGCATGAACTCGGCACGTCGTGCCATGGCAAATTTGAAGAAAGGAGTTACAATTGATAAACGAGTGTGATTAATACGTATTGGCCATAATTTTTGTGTAGTTGTATTAACGATATATTTATTCTGATAAACAATATCATTATCATTCATCACTCTCCTTAAATTCATTGAGGATTACGATTTATTTAATAACATGTACGGTTTGAGGCCTCTTCGTAACAAAAATTATTTTCATAGATTCATTATATTCATAACATGACAGTAATTCATAAATATGAATATATCATAATTACTGGCTCAATTGAGTGATTAAAATGTTAATCAGGGCTTTGGAACATTCAAAACAATACTCCTGTTGCGTCGCGAAGCACTGGATATCAGGCAACGCTATTGGCCATTTACGCTGTACGCTGTACGGTTGAGGCGCTCTATGGAGGTGCTACGACTCGTGTTTTCTCGCTTTATACGCAATAACTCCCCAAAATTACGAGAAAACTACGCACATTTTCAAAAAGTTTTACATTAATTATTTAAATATTAAGTATTGAAGAATAGATTTCATTAACAAACAAAGCTCTTTCGTTAATATTATACTTGAAGAACGAAAATCGGACATGCGCCGTTTTTAGAAGAGTACTTTTCTCTATTTCAGAGAGAAAATGGCGCAATTTTTGAGAATATAATTTGTTTAAAAGTGCCTTTATTTCACGCAAAAATTACGCGAAATTACTTACATTTTCCAAATGTCCTACATGACTATTTAAAGGTCTAATTTTTCAAAACTGATTTCATTAAGGAAGAACCTCTTACCAATATTGTGGTTGTAGACGCCGAAACAAATTTAAACTTTTGCAAGTTTCGAAAATACAGAAAGTTCAATACAAATGAGATTTGCATCATTTCGACAAGTGTAATTTGCTCTTTCCGAACAAAATATTCCAACTATTGGGAGTCTCTGTTGAGAATTTTATGTTATTGAGTCTTCATGTAAAGTACTTCCAAAATAAAAATATCCGTTTCAAATTCTCAGATCCTTGAGTTCGGTCAGATTGATAGAGGAATGTACATTTTGCAGAAAATTGTCTGAACGTCGCAAATGTTGACAGAGGACACGCGCGTGCGCGCACATACAGGGACTGACACAAAGACGTTTTGCACTTACTACATAGCAAGGTCGGATACGGGCGCTATCTGGGGGAGATTTCTTGCGATCTGCTGCTCTGACCGGTAGTTTTCCGTGGCAAATGCCCGAACATTACTCTAACAAACGGGCCACGGAACACGCGCGACCGTTTCTTCTTCTTTCGTGTCATATCCTCATCCCTTGCTCACACCCATATGCACTACACTTCCACATATGCCGGAGGCCAGTCAGGGGCTTAGAGCTTCTCCCGGTTTCTCGCTTCTGACACGTTCCTGGTTGGAGAAATTGCGCTAGCCGACATGTAGGTCGGTACCGGATCTCAACGACCAGCTGAGAAAGATAACCGCCACCTTCGCGGTAAAAACATACACTGCACCTTCGAAGGATTCGTTATTAAAGAGTGGCAATGGTTGCGTTGTAATTTCATATCAAGTGACTTTATTTGTTATAAATTATGCCCAACTGAGACCCAATGTAAACGAAGGCAGCGATGTCAGTGAACCTAAATGTGCTCTGCAGGAATGCAGGCAACTTGCATCGCAAATAGTTCGCACAAGTAAGGAGGAGCCTCCGATGCGTCGCGAGGCTTCGCGCGGAGAGAATAACTTGAATTTTCGCTAATAGCTGCTTTTCGAAATACTTAATTTTGCTTGGCGAATGTAATCGGAGTAGGCTTGTTATGACATGACTGGTTTACAAGGGAAGATGAAGTTGTCAAAATATTTATGATTAGCCGCATTTGTTGTCCATTTTGTGAATGATCTGCGAAAATACAGGTAGATTTTTTTACCTTTATATAAATCATGTTTTCTAAATACAATGCTATTCATCTTTGTGATTTTAGGATCTCTGCCTTATTGTTGCAGATTAGATTATATATTTGCTTTTATATTGATTTCAGGCTACTGTATTTCCTTCTACTGAAAAGGAAATATGCACTTCAACGTATTCTATTTGGACATCCGGAGGAATATTACATACGGGTAGAGGAAGTGGTTCCCAAGTGAGTCATTTAGCATCTGCCGGTCATCCAGCAGCTCTTTATAGGTAATTTGTTGCTCATAATACCAGAAATATCAGAAATGTTTATGATGGTCATTGTATTTGGTTTGTAATATTTTTTATTTAGAATTTTACTAGAAAATTTCAAGCCCAGAAGATAATGGGTTTCATGAGAATGAAAATACTAAATTTGGTCTTCCTTACCTTCACATTTATTGAAAGATATCTCAGTTTGAATCTCACCCAAAAAAAGAGGTGATTTTCCTTCAGACACACATTGATGTGAAACATTTAAGTCTTTATAAATATTTTTTTACTTCTACGAGTATATTATGGTACATATGATAAGAAATATTATGTACAGTCCTAAAGATAAAAATTGTCGCTCCAAAGGTCTGCATGTAGGTACTCCGTTTTGTAGAAATCAAAATTAAACTAAGGTTGAGATAAAATGAATCATACTTTTATTCCGTTTTGTATAAAGAGAAAGATATTTCATTTTTAACTCGATTAACCCTGATACACCTGAAGACGTCGCGAAAAGAAGTCCCAAATCCGATAGACAATAATTGTAAAAAACTTTTTTTTTTGTTCCTGACCTACACCGTTATAGGATTTAGGTATTTTTCTAATGATGTAAGTATTCTAATGATGTGGCAAAACAGACGATTTATAGATCGAAAAACTCGTTTTGGACCCTGATACTGACAAAGTGGATAAATCTTTTCCATGTGCAATGCTAGAGCCTAAACCGTCTAGGGGATTTTCTCTAAAATTGATATTCCCCATCGATCTGGCCGAACTGAAGGCTCTGTGAATTTGAAACATTTTTTATTTTATTTTCGGGGATACTTTACGTGCAGTTTATACTGTAACACCCCCACACCCTTATTTTATATTTCTTTTTAACAAAGTAACTTTAAAGTGGACGATCTGACCGCAACTGGCACTGCGCCAATTCTCCAAAAAGGAGGAGGGGAATCTCAGGGTGACCGAACTTACCGATTTTGCTGATTGTCAGAAACGCTGTCCCGGGTATTCAGTCTGAAATTTTGATGAGACGCATGCGTCACCGGCTTTTCCATGCTCCAATGTATTGAAACTCATCGTAAGTTTAACTAATGGATTTTAATTCCCATTTTATAGTTGAGGTAACGCCTCCAATAACAATATTAATTTCCTTAACCTAACTTCGCTTATTGGCTATGCCCTTTGGGGTCAGTGTCGGTGGGTTGGGACCCTCAGGCGGCGTCGGTCTCAGCGTTCAGGCCCTGCAGGGACGCGAGCGGTGGCCCTCCCGGCGGCCCTCTCGACAGCCTAGCGCGGCCCGGTCCGGGGGCGGGAGTGCAGCCTCCCTCGCCCTCGAAGGCCGGGCGGCGTCCTGGCGTCTTAGGCTTGCGCCGGATGGCTAGCGATGGTTCCCCGATGGCGGCGGTGGTCGCGCCTTTGCCCATCGTAGGTCCTGGCCCAAGTTCGGAAGTTGTGGTAGTTATTGGCCGCCAAGTCATCTTACGATGCGATTGCCCAGCGTGCGCCTTAGCCCAGACGACACATAAGCGACCGGCTATGGCGGTCGCAGTGGCGATGGCAGTCGGGCGAGGAAGCGCAGCATCTCGTGGCGTGCGGCGACGCGAAGGGCCCGCCTTCTTGAGACTACTTTACTCGTGGCTCGCGTCCATCGGAATAATCAACTTTACTCGCCCCTCCTCCGTCCGAATGATCAATCTTACTCGGTCGCCGCGTCATTCAGGTGAATGATCGAGCGTAGTGCCCGCAGTGGCCTCCCTTGGTTCGCGAGGTCACGTGGTCCTCCCCCGCTCGGTTTTCGGGGATTGGCCCCCCTTAAATCACGCAATGTGCGCTAATCGCGGTGTCGGCGATGGTTGGCGTCCCGGATTTCGGAAGAAATTTAGGCGTGACGGGAATTCTCCGGAAACCTTGGTGGTCGCGACGCTCGCCTGTGCGGCGTCCGTAATTTCCTCCTTGACTCATGGCGTGCTTGGGCCGCGCCTGGCAACATACAATAGAGTCTGGCGGCCTGCGAACGCGCGCAGATAGCGATAAATTGCCACTTACCTGGCTCTCCACTTTCGGGCGCTCCAATGTTATTCGAAATAAAATGTCAAAATATGTGTCGAAACCTGACGCGTGCGATCATCCCATTACAATACATTCACAAGATTTTATCAATAACGGCTCCAATTTTTTTGATATTGTTTTTTTCGGATAATTTACCGCACGCTTAAGAAACACTATCGCCTTTCCGTTATCTCTGAATTTTCGAAAATTGCAAGAGTTCAGAATTTTGTTCGCCGACTTCCGACTACATTATTAAAAATATAATTTTTTTCTTAAAGAAATCCCTTCTTCAAAGACAGCTCATTAAATTATATGTACAATTTTTCGGAAACGACACAAAATTAACATTGCGAAAGCACAATTGATAGAGATTTTTTCCCTAATAAAATACGTTCTAAAAAAATCTTTTAATAAGGTCGTGTACGGTTTTGGGGGGGGGGGATTATTTCGTCAAATTTTTGCTTCAGGCAAACTAAAATATTTATTCTGGAAAATCTCCAAATTATGTCTATTTTTCTCGAATAGAGCAAAGTATGCTTATAAAATGGAGCAGGGCTCATTTTCGATGGTTTCTCAGTATTTACGAAAATTGCTGAAAGTAACATGAGAAAATTACAATATATATGATGGAGATTTCTCACTCAATGAAACCTGTTGTTCAGAATTAAATCTGTGTATAAGGCATGTACATTTTTTGAAAATATGAGTAATTTCGAAAAGTTTTGCAAATCTTAGTGTCAGTTCAAGTGTATTTTTGTTTCCCTTCACGCTTTAGCACCCTCTTTTGTTAATTTGTTCTAAATTATCGGTGTTCAGAAATGCACCAAAATTACATGAAAAATAATTATTTCAATTGTAATTTACTATTATAAACCAAACTGAATTGCATTTTCACTTTATTCTACAATTTGTTTTGTCAAATTTTGTTGCATTCTCTTTCAACCAATCTGCAAATCTTAATTGGAATTAGCCCAATTAGATTTTCTCTTTTAAAATTATGATTTAAATGTTATGTGAAAGAAATATTGGAAAAAAAAACTTAGTCCGATAATTTTGCACAAACTTTTAATTTATGTACGATACTTTGATAACACAGCAATAAAAGTTTGAGAAGTTACTCCAAGAATTCCATTGCTGAATGGTTACATAGATGGGAGAGAGATAAGATAAGGGGGCTTTATTTACTTAGCCTTAATGGTACAATGTCTTTGCGTTCAATAAATGTTCAATGTAACTATTAATGTCAGGAAGAATCTAAATACAAATATGCATAAAATGGATATTATGTAATGACACCATTGTTTCATGTGCATTTAGATTTAGATTTATTCAGTCATAAAACTGTAAAAACTGTATGTGACATAGGGGGGAGAAGATTATTATTATATAATTATATTAATTATCATAAGGCGATATATTGTATGCTCTTTAGTTCTGAATATTCAATTTATATGTGTAATTATCCTTGCTTCTATCTGTAATGTGATGCAAAGAATGCGAGCAGTTACAAAATATGTGAGAAAGTATGCACTAGTTTTAGCTCCTCGTTCATTTTTATTTCCTTATATACGTAAGCGTTAGGCATGTAAAGTTACTAAAGTAATATTGTGATTTGAAGGACCCTGATATCGAAAAATTTGTAGTTTTCAAAAACATCTGTCTGTGTGTTGATTACCCGACTGCCTAAATCGTTCATAAAATTATCCAAAACGGATATTCCCTGCCTGATCTGACCGCACTTGAGGCCCTGAGAATTTGAAACGGATCTTTTAATTGTGATGTGTACTTTACGTGAAGCCTATAACAGGGCTCGGCTCGCGCGAGCACAGCAACGCCAACAGCGCCCTAGCACATGTAGGTGTCAATATCAAAATATGCTGATAAGCGTCGGTCGGTCAGTCGACTCGAGTTTAAGCAGCTTCGTATACGAGTAAAAGTAGATCCCGGATGTTTGGCAAAATTCTTTTTACTTTCTCGCTACCAGTTACGCAGTTGAAAGCTGCGTGTAGTGCTGCTCGAAAGAACGGCGTTATTTTGGCAGACAAACTCTGGGATCTGACTTATTGTAATTGCCAAATTTCTCTCATTGAATTCTCAACCCATAGCTATAGCTGTCATCCCTTATTCGACATTGAACTCAAGGTTGATGAAAGGGGAATTACCTCGGATACATTTAATCTGTCATCGAACTCTTTGTGTTTGAATTTTCGTAAGGCTGATTTTCAATTGATAAATGTGGAATTGCTGGTCGAACCGTGAACGATCTGCCATGTGTGGATACTCTCTTCAACCAATATTTTTCAAGATTTCCGGTAGATCTTACGAAGGATGTAAAGCCACGACATTCAACATCAGACGTTTCTCAAAAAAATTTATTAATGTCTAATTCCAAAACTTCTAACAATGAAATTCTAAGAAAAAATGGTTAACTAAAAAGTAAGTATTCAGCCGGTTCAGGTTAATTTTTTAAATTGTTAAAGCCTTGTGCACCTACTATTAATCCATATATTTAATGCATCCTTATGCACCGAAATATTTGCAGATATGTTCAAAACAGCTAAGATTAGGCCGCTCGTCAAAACCGGCAATGGACATGACATTTAAAACTATTGACCAAATCCACAATCAAAAAGATTAGAGAAACATTTCTACGAGCGAATGGAAACTTTTCTCAGCAAATACGACCGGGAGTGGTGGCTCAGGGCATCAACTGATGTCACTGCTGTGCATCTGACCGGGAGATCCTAGTTTCGATTCCCGACAGTGATCGGATTTTCGACACTAGATAGGTCGAATTCAGTTACTGTCTGGAGGAGAATTCTACCGGCCGGCTGCTCTGATCGGTAGTTTTCCGTGGTTTCTCCGATCAATACTAGGCAAATACCGGAGGAGTACCTTAGCAAACAGGCCACAGACCGCGCGCGATCTCTCCTTCCTTTTCCTTGTCCTATCCTCACCGCTTACTTACACACACTTACATGCCCCATACGCCAAGACGGCCACTACCACAAGCTACTGGTCGGTTTAGCTTAGAACTTGTCCCGGCTGGGACGGTGACCCGCTGGTGGGAGATACCTATTTGCGGAAAACCCCGCTAGCCGGCTGAACGTCGGTGCCGAATCTGGCCATTCAGCTGGGGGAAGATCACCGCTACCTTCCGAGGGGGGATATGCACTACACTTACGAGACTAATGACAGCCGTTGACGTGCCCTTAATCAGCACTCGATCAATTAGTAAATACAGTGTGTTTGCAGATTGTCACACAGAGGTTTAGAAAATAAAAATCTATGGAAGAAGGCACATACTCTTTTCTTAAAGAATGGATCAAAATGAAGCTTCTTTGGAATATTTTTAGATCTTTCAAAAGCAGTTGGTCAAATTCTGTCATAACATCTTAATTTCAAAATTACTTCCAAATGGAGTTTGTGGAATTGCGTCACATTCAAAAGTTTCGTATAAAAACGTGTGTATAACAACGATATCGGCGAGTAGAAATACCGTACTGGCAAGAAGGTACATTATGTACTTACCTTTCGGATTCATTGCGATTTGCACAGGAGTGTCTTGCAGGATTTGATTTTAGACCGTATTCACATCCCACTATCTCTAAATGTCACGCCCTCGCTATTCGAAACGCAAGGTCAACTCTGCTAATGATACCTTTTAATTAGCATAATATAATGAAGCAGTAGAACATCAAGTTCAAATTATTCCCGCAATAACAAATTATAATGTATAATTTGTTATTACGGAAATAATTTGAAACGGTAATTATTAGCAAATAGAGTTTCAATTCTGTTTTCCATTTCAAATAAATAATTTTACTCTCCATTGAACATTAACGATGTGACATCTTTTCATGTTAAGGTAACCATATGTTCGGGTGTCTCGAGTCAAACGTCAAATAGATCGTCCATTTAAATTAATTGAAAGCAATATTGAGTTTATTAAGCTACGCGTTCACAATTCGTTCAAATTCAGTGAGCTTTCATACTTCCCACTGTATGTATTTTTTATTTCATTAATTAATTATTCAAAATTAAAACTATATATGACATACTATGGGGAGACGTGTATTGTGTACACGCCGCCTTAATTTCGGGGATTTCTACCCTATCCTAATCTTCCCTATATACGAGTCGAATTCTGAATACAGATGGAAATGAGTGGAAGTCTTGCTCCAACACTACGTATAGGAGCAAGCTTAGTCCACTTCCTCGCTATCAAGGCCCAACAATATGCGTTTTCTGACGAAAAATTGAAACTTTCTCTAGCTGCATTGCAATACTTTTTATTTACGTTAGAACGTAGTATGCAAGAAAGTAAAAACGCAAGGATTTTGGAGTCCTAAAACTGGGAGTATATCCAGGCTGTCGAAACCACGCGAGTTCGTCCTTTTCTCTTTTTTGTTCTTTCGTCACCCTTTACCGCCTTTCTGTCTGTCCGTCATTCGGCTAGTCCGCCTGCCCGTCCATTTATTTGTCCAAGGGCCATACTGGTTAGTTCTCAGGGGTTTACTCAAAGTTATTCCGTGATAGCTTTGGCAGCTCTAAGCCTTACGAATTTGTAATGGCTCGTATTTTAGATGTTTTTTACATGTAGTACGTAGGGCATTTTAAAATATACTTACTAAAGCACAGATCAGATTTTGATTACAGCCTCTAAAATTTGAAAAATTTGACCATCTTCTGGACCCCCTGATACAACTACATTTTCTTGAAGATTTGTTTCTTAGTGAACTCTGTTCTTCAAAATTAAATCTTAAATTATTAACGCCTTGTACAATGTTTTCAAACTATGAGTAGGTGTTGCGTAATTGTGAGTGAATTTGTGACAAGTTCAAAACAGATTGTGGTGCACTTTCTCATGTGGAACTCTTACTTCTACTTCTGTATTATAATATTGCAAATAATTCAGTTATCGTTTCGTAAAACGCTTCGAAAAAATCGTGATAGATTCTGTTTTCCAATTTTCGTAGCCTTCGGAATTTCACAAGTATTCATGAAAATTAAGCGTGTATCATATTTATAAGCACACCATACTCTACTTCAGAAAAACGTTTTTAAAAAATCCTGTGGGAATGGCTGGAATCGATCCCCGGCCTTATATTTAGAGAGCGGAGCTAAAGCACCCTCACCTAAACGTTCGTCTGATATTAAATGTAGAAAATAACATAATACCCAACGAACCGTTTTGAAGTTGAATTTTTGGTTGAGAATAATTTTTTATTCAATATGTTTATATTAAATGCAAAATATTACTGAATTTCATTGTAGCTTGTAATGAGCGCAATGAGTTTTGCAAGTACATCGCAATTGTGCTGTTATTCGTAATGTTAAGTTTTGTTGTTGTTTTTTTTTTTCCTTCAAAAATGTCTGTCCCTTGAATTTGACTTTACGGCGGCTCGCGTGGAACGAAGACTGGTGTTGTGCCTAGTTTCGTTCTCTCGTTTAATATTGGACATGTATTAAGAAAGAAGAGATAATAAGAAAGAATTAATGAAGTAGATAATTATTTGTAAGGTTAGTAGTCAATTGGTCCATAGGTAAACCTTTACCACCAAAATGTCCACTCATGTATATGTTCATTGGTACAAATGTCCACTTATTTTAGATCCAATACTGTTTCGTCCAATACACTGAAGAGCCAAAAAACTGGTACTGCCATTCGTATTGAAGTAAAGACATCTGGAGCCAATCAGAAAACGGCTCTCTGGTCGGCGACGACTGTATAAAGCAACCAGACACAGTTAGATAGGTTACTGCTGCTACAATGGCTGGTTATCACGATTGAAGAGAGTTTGAACGCGGTGTTATAGTCGGCGCAAGAGAGATGGTGCATATCACCTCAGAGGTGATGAAATTTGGATTTTTTCTTACGACCATTTCACGAGTGCTCCTTAATATAGGGAATCTGCTAAAACATGAAAACTCCGGCATGGCTGAGCAAAAGCATTGTGCAAGAACGGGACCAACGACAACTGAGGAGAATCATTACACGTGATAAAAGTGCAACCCTTTCACAAATTACTGCAGATTCAAAGGTGGTCCATCAAGTGCCAGCGTGCGAACCATTCAACGAGACATCGATATGAGGCTTTGGAGCGGAAAGTCCACCCGTGTACTCTTGATGACTGCACGACACAATGCTTTACCTGAGCTCGTCCACACCGACCTGAGTCCGTCAACACCGACATTGGACTATTGATGAAATGTTGCGTGGTCTGACGAGTCTCGTTTCACATTGTTTAGAACGGATGGACGTGTACGAGTATGGCGACAAACTTATGAATCCATGGACCCAGCTTGAACAGTGGACTGTTCAAGCTGGTGAAGCCTCTATGATGGTGTGTGTGTGGGGGGGGGTGCAGTTAGAGTGATATGGGACCCCTGATACTTCTAGATACGACTCTGACAGCTGACATGTACGTAAGTATCCTGTCTGGTCACCTGCACCCATTCAAGTCCATTGTGTATCCCGACGGACTTGGACAATACCAGCAGGACAATACGACAGCCCACACGTCCAGAATTGCTACAGAGTGGCTCCAGGAACACTTTTCTGAACTTAAACACTTCCTCTGGTCACCAAAATCCCCAGACATGAACATTATTGAGCATATCTGGGATGCCTTGCAACGTGCTGTTCAGAAGAGATCTCCATTCCCTCGTACTTCTACGAGTTTATGGACAGCCCTGCAGGATTCATGGTGTCATTTACCTCCAGTACTACCTCAGACATTAGTCGGTCCATGCCACGTCGTGTTGCGGCACTTCTGCGTGCTCGTGGGGGCCCTACACGATATTAGGGGGAGTACCTTTTTTTGGCTTTTAAGTGAAGGTCCATTGCAGAAGTGTCCAGTAGTATACAACTACTGTAATTTTCACTCGTTTTTTAATTTTTTAAAACATTACATGTGAAAACCTGTAAATTAATTTAAATTTTCTTCTACCGCAGGATCAGCATGCATTTTCATATGGTATGAAAGATCCCGTATGTATATATATATATATATATATATATATATATATATATATATATATATATATATATATATATATATATTGTTTGACATTATTGGTGTCTTTGTATGCCTGGTATCTACTCACTATTTCTTCAGTTCGCCTGTTTGGGAAAGGGACTGTACAGCTTTTAAGTTGGATATTTCTAGGTCTATCATTATGCTGGCTAGTTCGAGTCAGCAATCTAGTCGACGAGCGTGTTATGCTCATGTAATGCCAGCTATAGCTTCTCTCACAATACGACTAGAATTTTTGTTAGGTCGTTCATATTCACTTGTCGTACTCTGCAATATTTTTTCTTCCATTGCAGCGGTGTGTACTCCATAATCATGCATCTCTCTACATTGCTATTTGCTACACACAGGGATTTGCAGACTTCTCTTTCGGAACACCTCCATTACATTTCATTTCCATTTCTTCGAAATTTTCTACTTTTTCTGCAAAGATGACATTGTGAATTACCTTAAAAATTGCTGTCAATTTCTACAGCCACACATTTCTATTATTAACAACAATGCTAAAAATGAAATATGAAAGTTAATGTTGATGAAGACAATGAATTTCGATCGTACAGAACGTGACATTACTCATTTTGTAGACTATTCAGTGAATTCTTTGTGACATTTTTGCTATGGACATTCTGTTCATGGACATTATGCTGTGAAAACTACGTTAATTGGACTTTATGCAGTGGACATAATGGTGTGGAAATTTTTGCTCTGTAATTGTGTTAATTAGCCATTTCCTGTGGACCGATTGACCTGGAACCATATATAACTCGCCTAACATTTCCTTTTTTATCGAATGCTCTTTTCTTGCAGGTCTGAAGGTGTACTACCCGACGATGAATTTATTCCATTCGATCCACCTATAGTCAGCAAGTATGGGCCGATTTCCCGCATGTCCAAAACAATTCTAAGACCAAGTAGTACAGTTCAAGTTTCAGCGTCTTTCGGAGAAGGGACCATATCGACACCAGTGGTGTGCAGGCCAGTCCCAGCTGCAAGTCCTATGGCTTCTTGGTATCTTAATACAGCACAAGGTATGTGTTCAGTACTAAGCAAAGCTATTACGCTAGTGAAGAAAGAAAATGTTGAACTTGCAGTGATCCATTTTAAAATATATTGTTTCATGTTAAGTGGTTTTATTATTCTTATCCATGTTAATAGTTGGAATTTTCCTGCTTTACATGTTTTTGCAATTACCTTTATGCTAACTATATGAAGTAGATTTCAATGTAACATATTTGTTGCTTCCTTAGTAAAAAAAATAATAGTGATGAGTGGAAATGCATGACCTCTCACACTATTAATTTCGAAACGATATGTTTTAATTTTTCATGGAAAATGTGTGTAAGTGGATGGCTGATGTGAAAGAAAATAGCACTTTTTTATCTTGCTTGCGATATCTTTTTGCTTGTATTATTACATCAGTGTTTTTAATAAAATGTGTGTTATTGCTGGAGTGATGTGGAAATTGCGCACAATGATACTTTGGTTCAGCAGTGAGATATAAATATTCTTTTCTTTAAATATAACATTTTTGATCATACACGACCCTAAATCTCAGGTTCGATGTTCGCTGAGGAAGTACATATGTCACATGTATACTTCACTAATATTTTTAAGTTTTGTTTCAATTAAGACGAAGAAACTTCATAGTCAAACCACAATAGTTTAAAGTGCCTCAAGAAATAAATAATTTTTCGCCTTTTGTGTTATCAACATATTGAGATATCAAAAACGTAGTTAAAAATTTTAAAAAACTTCAACATACTACATTTATCTAATCATAAAAATATTCCAATGCGCTGGTATTAAAATAATTAATAATATTTTTCATATTAACCTTTTAATGTAACCAGGGCTCAGTGTTTAATGGCATGTCATCTTTTCATTGGTGGTTTGTAGACTTGTAAATCAATGTTTGCCTTGACATACAGGTGATAGAAATGTATAGTTATTGGGTCACTCTCTGCCTCTTTTCAGTTTTTGGTCACCACAAAATTGTCTCGGTTGCAATATAACTTGAGTGCAAAGATTTCCTTGAGAGAGTTAACTACTACACCACGCGATCATGTAGTTTCCAAACTCTCCCAAAAAATACATAATACCGTTAACTTTTGGAAATTCAGATATTTTCATGAAAATGGCTCTTATGCCAAAGAATTCAGTATATTATGCACTGTCTTGATGTGTAGTTCAAAAAAATGGAGTAGGTTTTTAGAAAATCGTAGAAAACTGTCATCAGTAAAAAGTATGCCAAAACTACAAATATTAAAAAAATACACATGCAATAATTGTAACATTTAATGTTGAAGAATATATTGCATTAAGAAAAAAATCTTGTCTCAATATTGAAAGAGTTGAATCGTAGAAAAAAGATAAATTTAGGATTTTTCAAAAGATCAGAAGTTTTCATGAAAATTGGACTATTACCATATTTATAAGAGCACTTTGCTATATTCGAGAAAAATTGTTTCCGAATTCTTTTGTTTGGCCGCAGTCTGTTTTAAAATTTATAATTTTTTGGCGCATCAACAGCATAATTATTCGATTTACTTTGTTGAAGCTTTTCGCCATCGCGCTATTAGCCAAGATTTTTTAAATTCTTGCCGGAACTCCCGAAAGAATTTTGAAATTTTTAAAAACTTTTTTATTAAATGAAAAATTATTTAGCTAATTCTTTGTTAAAAACTAGTCAAATGCCGTTTACAGATTGTAAACCGGGCCATTTATTCAGACATTATTAGTAATGGAATTGTAACATATTTTGGGCCTGATATAAAAATGTATTTTTAATATTGGAATGGAGTATACATAGATCAGTAATATTTTATTTGTCATATGCATTTTGAATGACTTCAAATGAACCTTAATTACCCTAGGGAACAAGATTTTTACCTTCAGGACGGTAGAGTGCGCAACGTGCTCAATTTTCTATGTAAATTACGAATATCACTGTAAAACCATCATACCAAGTCAGTTTTTAAGTATACCATGTCATACAGTATTTTGCTATTAATTTAAATACATTTAAATTCCACCTGTAAGATATGTAGAATCATTACGCATAAAATCTATTTAAAAATAAAACATTTATTTAGTATATCTATACCACTTTAATGAGATGAACAAAATTAGCCTTTCGTGTATTTTTTACTTTCTGTATTAGAAGATTGCAGCCTTTATTCTCGCGTCTGGTAGCCACGCTCAATTAGTCCTCAGTGGTCTTAGATCTTGGTGGATGTTTCTAAAACAAGTCACGTGCACTCAGGTTTCCTACTGCGGATCAGTCACCTCAAGGAATTATTGTAGCTCCTTACCTCATTGCAAGTATACCTTATCCAACTTTTGGGGAGGCTTATTCTGTGTGAGGTGGTGTTATGCGGACCTGTACCTGCAAGTGCGCCATTTCTCGTCTGGTTTGGACGTGTCTTGAATGCATTAAAACTAATAATCGTACATTTTAGTTCTTTATAAAGTAAAATTGGCCACATGATCTGTTGGATTAAATGGGTTCCATAAAATGGAAATCATCATTTCACATCGAAAGTGTGCGGATCAACCCGATAACTTCTGTTGTGTTTGGGGAAAATTTACATCCAAACTTCAAATTTAAAAAAATGGAATTACAGAACTTGCGTAATCTTTATACTTTGAGTGTCACTTTAGCGATCAGGACAAATCATGGGCCGCTCACCAGTGTTGTGTCACCTGTACAACGAACCTTTGATTGTGGTTATATTGAATACTCTATTCATTTTCATTCACTGTACCAATGTTGTAGAGAATACCAACAAACAATTTTAATGACTGCTACATCTTCATGACAAAGATATTTGGCCTGTCCCAATCAATTATCCACTTAATTATTCTCCCCTGCAACTGTATCACACAATGACGAATTACCAGTGTCCGTAACTCCGGAAACATGGTCAATAAATAATGAAGATAACAATGAACAAACTGAAATCATGTTTCTCTTAGGAACAGAGGCCTTCACTTCTAAAGATCCAAACCATTTATCAGGAAAGCCTAAAACTGGCCTGCACATTTTGTATTTGATTCCTATTGGTTTGTGATGCATTTGTCCAAATGAGGTAGGCATATAGGATTAGATAAAGGGAGTTAGATATGTATTATTTCAGTAGGTAAGTTTGCTGGTGGCAGCAACCTGCAACATGTAACCTGGTGGCAGAACAATACAATATACATCTTCGTCTACCCGATATATTAGTCAGTCATCTGCAAATAATCTCTTTTGAAAATAAATTGTCTGACAGATTCACGAACGCGAGAACAAGTGAGGTTCAATGACGTTCTTGAGAGATCCGGATGGAACCATTGCTAGGTTCATTTTTTATCAAAGTTTAGTTCTAAATATTTAGCAGTTTGATTGTATGCAGTCCAGGGGATTAAGTTGTTATTAATTTGGAGAGGACTGATGGAGAATGTTGTGAGAAAATTGTTGCCGTTGATTTTGACGAATTGAGCTCAATTTTCCATTTTATGAATTAATCTTTTATGTTTTTGAGGTGTGGGTGAATTTTATTGCAAATGTGCCGAAATGAATGATTATACCGCCACGTAGTGACCACAAATGGAACTAGTCTCGATGCATTTTGCCTTATTTCTATTTGTGCTAGGCTACCAGAGAAATTGCGTAAATTGGCAAAAAAATGAAAAGAGTAAATTGGCGAAATGGAAATACGTAGAGGCGCATTTACACTGCCGGACAAAAAAGTGATGCACCCAGGAGTGGTTCAGTATTATCCCATTTCGGTAATCATGCATAGTATTGATGTGTGAGTAAAAAAATATTCAAATGAAGATCAGAAATGTGTAGAACACCCACACCGTTCCGATGTTGCGCAGTTATCAGTCGACTGCTGTGAGTCAGACACTGAAGAGCGTCGTTTACATACACTACGAAGCACCCGCGATGCCACACAGACGCGTTGGACAGCCTGTCCACCAATTGACTGCATCTGACAGAAGCTGCATTGTGCGACTTAATGAAGCTAGTTGGTCGTATCGTGCAATTGCCTGGCGTATGGGCCATTCAGATATGACAGTGGACCGATGTAGGAATCGTTGGGCTCGTGAGGGGACCCTTGCATGTCGTGCAGGCTCGGGTCGACGAAGAAACGCCACCCCGAGGGAGGAACGTCTCGTGCGCCAAGCAGTGCGGAATCCTATGCGACGGCAACCACCAACCGCGAACATGTGCTGGCGACTCTGCAGCGTCCTGTGAGTTCCTGCACAGTGGGTCGACGACTCGCACCCGCCGGGTGTCGGTTGCCATGGACACCAGAACACTGGCGTAGGCGTTTGGATTGGTGCCGTGTCCGGGGAGCATGGGCAGCGGACGAATGGCTTCGCATCATGTTCAATGACGAGCACCGTTTCGCCACAACCTCCGATGACCAAGGTGTTCGAGTAAGACGGCGTGAAGGGCAGAGGGCACATCCTGCCCATATCGTGGAGAGACACGTAGTCGTAACTCCGGGTATAATGATGTGGGAAGCCATTGGATATGCGTTCAAATCATCTGCAATAGTGGGTCGGCAGACTTTGACAGCACAGCAGTACGTCATTCTGCGTCCGCACGTCCTATCCCTTATGGTACAGACTTGGGCAGTGTACCAACAAGATAATGCACGCCCACACACCTGACTTGATCTCGGTAGTTTGCCCTTTTGCTCTGAAACGGGAGGGAGTGAAATCATGCATGATAACAGGTTCAACAATGTATATCGTAGTGAAACAAATTGTGATGTTGAATTTCTGAATTTACTAGAAAAATTCCATAAGTTTTAACCGACTGTTACATTAAAAAGGGTGTTTCCCTAAGGACACAATGTACTCGCCTGATATGAATAAAAGAGGCATTCCCTTTCTGCGGGTTACAATAAATGGCACCGCGGACCGCCAGTTGGACAACCCGTATCTAGAGCATTTGAGGTCCACCCGTGGTCAGCAAGATCTCAAGTGTGGATTGTTGCGCTTCGACGCTAGGCGATTCTCTTCGTGATCTGGA